GCCGAGTGGCCACTCTTCAACCCCCGGAGCGACTTTTCGTTGCCAGGTACTGTCCTCTGCCCCCTCCCCGCCTTAGATTCTGGGGCGCAAGGCTCCCAGCCACACCTGCACCTCTCTCCTCGTGAGCAGCCCCCGATCAGCATACTTCTCTGCACGCATCACACAGGTGCCTTCACACGAAAGGCACCGTCCCATTGACTCATGTCCCTTTCAAGGTAGGGCACACGTCTCCAGTGGTCCTGGCAGGGCCGGTGACCTCCTACACCTGCTAGTCTGAGCCTCACGCCTGGACCACTAGGTCCCAGCTTCTCCGCCTCCTCAAACTCCTCCCTTCTCACACTCAGCTTATGACCTTGCTGCCTATGTCACTGAGGACATGAACACTATCAGAAGAGAAAGTCCTTGCCTGCCTGAGGCCGTGCTCGGATCTCCCTGCCACCCCTCACACGCCCTCCTTCGGGACTGCCCTATCCCCGTCCCCACACAGGGGCCCTCCCTCCTCACTGGGTCCCAGGCGCTCCTGCTCCCTCAGAACCTCCACTCTGCCATCAGCACGATTTTTCCTTCTGGGTGATTCCCGTAAACATACAAACAGCATAACGTCTTTCCTGGAAACCACGGAAATGCATCCTGACGGCCTCCGGCTGGCCTTTCGCAAAGTTTCTAGGCCGTTGCTGGGCTTTGCTTTATCTCCTGCCATCGTTTTGAGCTCATTTTTAACTGACGGGACAGTAAGATTTGCTTTTCTGATACGCCGTCTAAGATTCTCCGGAAGGATTTACAGCCACGTGACCACCAGCATGCTCACCACATTTCTAGCGCCTCAACCCCTTTGGCATCACACCTGCCCGGCCCCTAAGCCCTGGGACCGTCGGCCGGTTCTCAGTGCTCGCTTGTCCCCCTCGCCCTGTCCTGGGCCGCGGCCGTCCGTCTTTCGTCCCCAGTGCTGTTCCCTCTGGGACCAGCAGCCACCTGCGCATCGCCCTGGCCTGGACTCCGGGTCCCATCTCCTCGCACTCGGCCTCCCGGGAAGCCTCCCTCTGCTCCCTTTTCTGGAAACGCTTCTTCCCGTGGCCTCTGGACTACCACATTCTGCTGGTTTTCTTTCTAACTCAACCCCCGTTGTTTCCTGACCTTCCCAAGGTTTGACTTTCCCAAGGTTGCTGCCCAGACCTGGCTCTTCCCCACCCACCCCCACCTCGCTCACTTCCCAGCTGCACCATTCAGGTGCTTTGTGGCCACTTTAACCTAGAACTCAGGCTAATTTTCCCCAGCGCTGGTCTCTCCTCTGAGCACCTTCCATGCAGTCAACGGCCGCCCAGCCTCAGCCGGCATCCTCAGGCTTCCAGACCGAGTTTCCACCCATGTCCTCCCTGCTTCTCCTGTAGGACGGTGGTCCGTCCTCCTCCCCGTGTGCGTGAGAGTGATTTTACAAGCGTAAGTTCAGTCAGAGCTGCCCACGGCTCCCAGCACACCTGGAATGAAATCCAGGCCTGGCACCACGTCCAGGAAGCCCTCCGTGACTGGCTCGGACTGTCTGTAGGTACCACAGCAGTGCCCATCGCTGCCCCTCCCTCAGCTGCAGGGGCACTGCCTTCTCCTCCCTCCACAGATGAGCTCACTCCTTCTCAGGTCCTCCGCATTTGCTCCTTCTCTGCCCGGGGTGCTGGTCCCGAACACTGGGAAGGCAGCTCTCTAATTTCGTTCTGTTTTCTACCCAACTGACAGCTATCCGAATGGTCAAGATCGTCCGATGATACTCTGTAACTGATTTCTCAGCTTTATCTTTTTCTTCAGTTTATTTATTTATTTTGAGAAGGAGAGACAGAGAGAGAGCAGGCACGAGTGAGTGGGGGAGGGGCAGAAAGAGAGGAAAAGAGAGAGTCCCAAGCAGGTGCCGTGCTGTCAGCCCAGAGCCCAACACGGGACTCGACCCCACTGAACGTGAGGTCACGGCCTGAGCCAAAATCAAGGGTCAGATGCTTAACCGACGGAGCCACCCAGGCACCCCTGGCCTTTATCTTTCCTACACGCTGATCACTCTCTGAAATCAGATTGCATATTGGTTTTTTAATTGGCGCTCTCCCCCTGAACAGCAAAGACTTGGTCACGTTCGCTCCGGCCACCCGCGTCCCACTCGCAATGCGTGACGCACAGGAGGCCCTCAAAATGCTTTGTAGGACGGATGAATGAAAACCGTGATGGTCGTGCCAGCCCCCGTTGACTCCACTCTCCTACCCGAGGAACGCATCATTCAAATAAGCATTTAAGCTAAAAAAAAAAAAAAAAAAAAAAAAAAAAAAAAAAAAAACCAGGCTAAATATGTCAGACCAAGTATGGGTTCAAATAGATAGTGATTATGAGGTAATATTTACTGAACGTGGAATAAATTCCAGGCATTTTACGGATGTCAACTTATTTAATCCTCACGAAAACTCTGTGAAGTAGGTTCAGTATTACCTCCCTTCTACAGAAAAGGAACATAGGGCACAGAGAGGGAAAGCATTTTCTCCGAGGTAACACAGCTAGTGGGGCAGAGCCAGGGTTCAGGCCCGTGCCTTCTGGCTGAGAGCCTGCATCTCCCCAGAATCTCCTGTCCTTGGTCATCATGTCATAATACTGTGGTCAAATCCTTGGGATATGAGAGAATCTTTGGGGAAATCAGAATTCCTTCTCTGGACCTGCTCCGCTGGGAAGTAGGTGAATAAAGGGCACAGTGTGTGTGTGTGTGTGTGTTGGTCAGGAGCCTGGCCGTTGTCACTGCAAGTTGGCCGGGCCGGGGCAGGGTCCTCTGGACTTTTGAGGGAGGGATAAGAGGGAGGTGCGGTCACCAACGAAGGTACCGCGTCCTAACAACGGATGGGGGCAGTGATCAGAAACGAATGCGGGAGAAGGAGTGGAGGCCAAGAAGGAAGCAGAGAGGAGAAGGAAGAGGCAGGAGTGAAGCGGAGAGGGAAGGTGGGGGAGGAGGGGGGAGGGGGCAGTGCCGGGGGAGGTCCACCCAACTCCAGGTCCGCACTGATCTCTCCCGAATTCTCTCCTAGCGCCGCCCTGCGAACTAACTGGTGAGTAGCTCTCTTCCCCTCCCCCTCTGCGGTCTGTGGGAATCTTGTCGCAGCCGTGGATGCTGTCTGACATCTGGTGACAGCGGCTCCCTCGGGGCCCCCGCGGCCTGTGTTCAGACCAGTGTCTGCACCTGACACGAGCCTGCTGCGCTGGGGGTGGGGCGGTCTTGCTGAGACCTTCTCAGAAGCACGGTCCTCCCCGCTCTCCGGAAGGGAGATGCTGTTTCACGGGGAAGTCACAGAGTGCCGCGGACGGATGTGAGAAGGACTGTCCACCCCCCCGGCCTCAGGGGCCCCAGGGCTGCTGTGTCTTCCCCGCTGGGTGCTCCCCCAGGAGCGCTGGAGGAATCTCGGCCGCCACCCGTCCGCGGCGACGATGACGGTGGATGCCGGGCCTCGGGCGCGCCAGGCGTCACTCTGCCTCCTTCCTCCTGCACTCCCGCTGTAGCCACAGCGGTCGGCCCGCACGACGTGTCTCCCAGACCCTGCTCGGTGCCACCGTTCACTCTGATCCTGATCCAAAGTCTTACCTTTACCACAAGAGAAGAGGAAGTCTCCCCCCAGAAGGAACCTTCCACTGACGTGTGTTTACATCCAGGAGGCGTCAGAACTGCTCTCCTCTATGCAAAGTACTGTCCACGGGGCCGGAAGGGGCCTTCTGCGTCCTCAAGAACACGGGCCGCACGTACAACCGGGGGGAACGGGCCTCTGATGCCAACGGTCAGGGGTGTTCGGGACCAGCCCAACCTTCTGGACAGCTCTTCTGAGGTTCGTCCAGGTGGAACTCAGGCCATGGGCTCATGGGTTCAATCCGAGCGTAAGCAGAAATCCAAGACCACACCCAGAAGAGACGAAACTCCCGCCACCGGGAATCTGTCAGGTGTTTCTGGGAACACCCGAGAATGATCTGGGGCAAGCTCTGAGCTCGAGGCTGAGCTCCAGCCCTCGCAAACGGCCCTGTCCGGGTCCTACTCCACGCGTGCCCTGCCCCATTCAGAAGCATGGGGCCCAGCTGCCTAGACGCCTTTTTTATTCCTTCCTCTGCTCAGCTCAAAAGCTGTGCTGTCCTCGGCCCACTGGGACTGCAGTTTTCCAAGGACAGAAAATGCCTCCCGGCGCACAGGTGTTCCGTCCAGGCCCCAGCACGGAGCAAGCAAGCATTCTGGTACCGACGTCGGGAGCGAGTTCTTTTGAGTTCCCAGGCGAGGCATTCCACCAGCCAGGCTTGAAGTGACAGGTGTTGGAGCAGCCCCCGCCTCTCAGTGACCTGGATCACGTGGCATTTTTCGCTGGTGAGGGGAGACAGGCTTCTCTTAGGAAAATTCGTAAACTTTCCTGAAAAGCAGAGGCTCTGAGCCTTCCACAAACAAATGTCGCAAGAGCCAGTGTGCTCGGGGATTCTGGGGTTTCCCGGGCACCGACGCTGGGCAGAAGGAGGTGAGGGGAAGCAGGACCCAGCTTTGCCCACCCGTGGTCCCCCTGGAGAAAAGCCTTATGGCCGAAGAGGGAGGCATCCCTGAGCTCAAGGTACGGATTGAAATTGCTCTGCACAACCTTGCCTTCTACGGAGGTGTGGGCACAGTCCCAGAGCAAGGGAGCCCAGTGCGTGCGTGAGGCATTTTCCGGCAGGTGCACCCCTGTTGCTTCCAGTGGGAAGGAGAGAATCCGTAAAGAAGGCATCGAGCGCCTCTCAACCTTTCCCTGACTGGCAGATCCCCCGGTGTCACGTTCCGTCCTTGGAAGAAATAGTGTGGCTCTGGGACACCAGGGGAACGAAGCAGAAGAAAAACGACCGCCCTGATTTACAACAAGAATGAATGAAACCCACTCACTTTTCCTGAAGCGTCAGGCTTCACCGCCTCCAATCACAGTCATCAGTGCCCTGCCCTGTGTCCGGAAGGGGTGTGTTTAGTTCGTGGCTAGAAATGTCGAAGCGTGAGAACCAAGTGGCAGGCAAGGGTTGTCTTATGGACGGAAGAGGTGCTGCGCGGGGGGTGCCGGGGTGCGGGATGGGCTCTGCACCCCACTGGGTGGTTATCCGAGCACCAAGTGCCTCCGCCCGGGGACTCTGAACCCCTGGGCCCTGGAACATATGTGTTTCGTCCCTCTCTCCAGCCCTGCTCCTGACCGCCACGCCCTCTCGGCCCGTGGAGGGAGGCTCAGTGACCCTGACCTGCAACGTTCTGGTCCCTTCACGGAGGCTGGACGGCTCCCTGCAGTTCCGCTTCTTCAGAGACAGCCGGGTCCTGTGGCCGGGCTGGAGCAGCTCCCCGGAGCTCCAGCTCCCCAAGGTGTGGAGGGAAGACTCAGGATCCTACTGGTGCGAAGAAAAGACCATGGCAGCCAGAGTCGCTCGGAGCCCGAGGGTCCAGATACAGGTGCAGAGTGAGTGCGGGGGCCTGAGGCGGGGGGCAGACACGGGCGGGCACGAGGCTGATCTCCCCCAACACTGGGGGCTCGGCTCCTGCAGGAATGGAGGTGTACCGAGCTTCTCTCCTGGTCAGAGTCCCGGAGGGATCTTCCCTTATCCTTGCTAATCCCGCTTGAACGTGCAGAAGGGTATTTAGGACTGTGCTGGAGAGTGGAGCCCCCCGATTTCCAGGAGCCACAGCTCCCGCGGCGCCCTCAACAGCCAGGGCGAGATGTGTGGCCGTGGTGGGGGGCTGACGGGAGCCACGGAGAAGGGAGAAATCAGAGCCGCACGGAAAGGGGAAGCTTTGTACAGGAGGCTATTGGAGGAGAGGCTGGGGTTTGAGTTTGAGAGAGAAAAAGAGAAGGGGGGTGTTTTGTGACTCTGAACCGTGCTGCCCCACGTCAGGGTGGACACGCCAACGTCCTCCCCCCATTCTCGGTCCAAGATGCATCCTCGGAGCTGGGAAGCGGGTGTCGATTACCTCCAGAAGGCCGGCTTTCCCGCCTTCGCTCACAGCCCAGCCCTGGTGAGGCTGGAGACACGCCAGGCAGTGGGCCGTGCTCCCGGCCCGTCGCGCCACGTAAGGGAGCCCTCCCGACTTCGGGAGAGAGCGATCATTGCCCGCTCCCCTGTGCAGACGGGAAATCGAGTCCCAGGGAAGTTAAGCCCTCGGATCAAGCACACACAGTAAGACCAGAACCAGCACCCAAGCCCAGGCAGCTTGACCTTCGATCCACACCGTGGCCTCCTTACCGTTGTGCCTTGCAGAGTGAGGGTCCTGGGAGCCCCACTGTCCTGGGGCAGGAGGGGGTGCATGGTAACAGGATGGCCTTTGTCACACTGCCAGCATCCGCTGGACCAAGGCAGACCCAAATCGGCAGAACCCCCCCCCACCTCAAAACGGCCCCCAACGTTAGCCATTCGACCGCATGAACTGTTGACTTTACCCAAGGCCTTTGGGTTCAGGACAGTCACCCCTCCCGGGTCACATTGTGTGTGTGTAGGAGTCCCCGTCTGTAATGTGAGCTTGGAGACGCAGCCTCCCGGCGGGCAAGTGCAGAAGGGAGAGAGGCTGGCTCTCGTCTGCATGGTGGCCAGGGGCACAGGAGACATCACCTTCCTCTGGTACAAAGGGGCCCTGGGTTTGAACCTGGAAACAAAGACCCAGCGCTCTCTGGCAGCGAAGTTTGAGATCCCGGCGGTGAGGGACAGCGACACGGACAAATACTACTGTGCGGCCGACAACGGCTACGGCCCCAGCCTCAGCGAGCTGGTGAGCGTCACCGTCAGAAGTAAGTTCTGCGACCCACCAGCGGCCCGCCAGCTGGGCTCCCCGTTCCCCTGGGGCACCCCAAGGGAGCTCAGCGGGGCTGGGCCTCCATGGGCTGGGATTACCAGTCCGTCCCCGTGTGGGGACCCTCTCTGACGGCCCCCCTGTCTCCCTCAGTTCCAGTGTCCCGCCCCGTCCTCACCATCAGGGGGCCCGGGGCCCCGGCCGAAGTGGGGGACGTGGTCGAGCTTCGCTGCGAGGCCCAGAGGGGCTCTCCCCCCATCCTGTACCGGTTTTATCGCGAGAATGTCACCCTGGGGAGGAGCTCAGCTCACGCTGGAGGAGGAGCGTCCTTCAACCTCTCTCTGACCGCAGAACATTCTGGAAACTACTCCTGCGAGGCCGACAACGGGCTGGGGGCCCGGCGCAGCGCAGCGGTGCCACTCAACGTCACAGGTACAGCCCAGGGCATAGAGCTGTCCTGGTCACTGCCTCTTTCCAGCATCCTGGGAGAGGTTGTGTTAATGCTACTTAAATTCAAGTTAGGTAACAAACAGTGTAGTCTTGGCTTCAGGAGTAGAACCCAGTGGTTCATCTCTCTTGTTTTTAATTGGTAGAATTATTTTTTAATGTTTATTTATTTTTGAGAGAGAGAGAGAGAGAGAGAATGAGCAGGGGAGGGGAGAGAGAGAGAGAGAAAGAGAATGAGCAGGGGAGGGGAGAGACAGAGAGAGAACAGAATCCGAAACAGGCTCCAGGCTCCGAGCTGTCAGCACAGAGCCCGACGCGGGGCTCCAACTCGCGACACTTGAGATCATGACCTGAGCCGAAGTTGGACGCTTGGCTGACTGAGCCACCCAGGCACCCCCAGTGATCCGTCTCTTACATACGACACCCAGTGCTCGTCCCTACAAATGTCCTCCTTAATGCCCATCATCCATCTAGCCCATCCCCCCAGCCCCCTCCCTCCATCAACCCTCAGTTTGTTCTCTGTAGTTAAGAGTCTCTTATGCTTTGCCTCCCTCCTGGGGGAGTTCTCCTGACCCTGCCACGTTTCTGGCATCGTGCAACCAACGATGGGCGTCTGTGGGCGGTGCTGTCCTGGGAGGTGTATCTCAAGGGCACGGAGGCGACGAAGGCGTGAAGGCTGGTGCCTCTTCTCCAGTCATCAGCGTGAAGAGCTGTAGGCCCCTCGATACAGAAGTCAGTTCACTGTCCCCCCGCCCCGTCCCTGGGAAGGGCAGACCTTGGCCTCAACCCACGGCCAGGATGTCTGCTCTCCAAAGGCCAGCCGTCCAGCACAGAAGCTCACGCTCTGACCTCTCCCTCCAGTGCCCACGGAGGACAGGAAGGAACTTCTCGCCTCGGGAATCCTCGAGGGGATGCTTGGCGTCCTTGGTCCCGTCATTCTGGCCTTATTCTGCTGTGGGCTCCGGAAAAGACTAGGTTAGTATTTCAGAGACTGGTATTTTGTGACCATGACCTTTGTTTTCACGGACACAGGCTGGGCGGGTGACGTGTACACGGAGGGATGGATATGCCCTGCTGGCCACCCTGCCTGCACACCTGCTCCCAGCCCCCCGCACGGGAGCAGCACCCATTAAACTGACGCGGTGTCTTAGGTCAAGTCTTCCGTCTGCTACGTGTCATCGGTTCAGGTCCCCCCGATATCTTGTGTTCATCTGATCAAATATTTGCACCAAAATGTAACTCTATGTAAACTAACTAGTCGGCGCCTGGAGGAGACACACGGTTAGCAATCCCAGCCCTGCTGACCATCTCCCAGGTAAAGTCAGTGCCTCGGTTCTTATCCCCCCCTCCCCCGAGCATGGTCACGTGCCTTTCCCGCTTTCTGGAATGCTTGTCCACACATCCTCGTGTTCCACTCACTGCAGGATCCCTCCTGCTTTCCAGCTTAAGTGTCACTTTCTCCGAGAGGCTTCCCCTGGCCACAGCCCGTGTTCTCTCATTATTCTCCATCAGGGCGCTAAGCTGGTTAGCCCCGCCGTGCTCACAACGGGTAATTACATATGTATTTGTGCATTTGATCCGGGACTCCTGTTCTCCGCCGAGCAAGATGGGGACAACGTGAGGTTTTCACTTGAATGCCCAGCTTTTCCTGCCTCTTGGGGCACGTCGCCCCGTCTGTAACGTGGCTGTGGCAGTGCCTGCCTCTCAGGACTTGTCATGACAACATTAGGGGGTGTGGTTGTTAAAACCCGAAGCAAACAATGCAAGAGGTGGAGGTGGAACGGTTCAGAGGTGTGGGTTCAAGTCCTCGCTCCGGTGTGAACCGTCTTTGGGAAGCTCGCGTGACCATTCTGCACGGAGTCTCCTCACCTGCAGGACGTAGGATCTGTGCAAGCGAGTGCCAGCTTGTTCTCTGGCACGCGGTGGCCTTGTGAGGGGCACCGTGGCCCGGGGTGCAGTCCCCACACGAGGGCCACCTGAGAACAAGTGGTGAACAGAGTCCCCCTTTGACATGTCTGCTCATCTGCTTGACTTGTAGGAAGACGTCCCTCCGGGAACCCACGCGGGTGAGGCCCCACTTTCTCCATGTGCACGGATGCAGCAGAAAAACCCGTCTTCCCGGTTTTGAGTTCTCTTCTCTCCTGTGCTTGTTTCATGTTATTATAACCCACCCTGAGCACCCTCCCCCCGCCCCAGAGCTCTCCCCCTGGTAGCTGAGAACCTGCTTGCCACCCCTCTTCGTTGTGCTTGCATTTAAATCCTTGCATCATTCTTCCTAGTTTAGCTCCCTCGACAAACTACCTTGACCCGTTTCACACATTCACCAATGAATGGATGCATTCAATCAATTCACCGCTATCTGAGGGTCTGTGAGTCGTTCCGATGAGGAAGGAAAGCAGGATCCTAGGGTCTTAAAGTATCCCAGAGGCATTAAGATACGGGCACATTTCGGTAATTGAAGCCAGAGAGCGATAACCATTGCTGGTGAAGTTCTTTAGAAGTTTAGGGGGGTGGGGGGAGTTTCTTTTTAAATCCTTGCATCTGGGGACATCAATGTTTAGTTAATACCGTGTTGTTTTTATGCTGAGAAAATACAGATATTTCCCCCCAGATCAGGGTAGCACTCTTCCAGGCGTACATGCACGCACAAGCCCACTTTCTTCTCTCCCTTCCTCAAGCTGCTTCTTCTGCCTAACAACCTGTTTTCTGTCGGGGGAGGGGATCAATATTGCTTCATTCAATATTCACTGAGCGCGTGTGATGTGAGGGGCACCGAGGCGGGTGTGGGCGACACCACCGTGAGCCCGTCAGATGGGGGCCGGCGCTCACGGGCTGTGTGCCCCAGCACTACCCGCTGCGCGCTGCTGGGTCAGGTCAGGGCGTGGGCGACGCAGCTGTGACGGGGACTCTCCTCAGGGGTCAGTATTCCGCCCAGGACCCTCCCTAGCAGGCTTGGCTCCTTCAATGTCTTGCTCACAACCGTCGAGGGAGATGTGCGGGGCATCTGGGACGCCACCCCACGCAGATGACGTGTGTTTCCATGTCTGCAGGAGCCCTCCGAGCCCTGTGCCGCCAGCATCCGGCTACGTCAACTCACCCGCCCCGCTGCAGGGACAGTCTGTGTACGAAAACGGTGAGGGTCCCGAATGACCTGGCCCGAGGAGCTCGAGTGAGCTGGGGAAGGGGCGACGGGGTGCCGTCTGCCGGCCCCACCTGTGGCTGCTGTGCCCCAGCCACCGCCTCCGTGAACAGGTGGCGGGTCTGTCCGCGTGGCCACGGGTGGTCGGCATGGAGTGGGAAGAAAGGGCCGTGTCACAATGCCTCCTTTCTCCCCTTCCAGCGAATGTTGTACGCGGGGACGAGGTTTACTCTTTGGTGTACCACACGCAGCAGGAACGGCCACCAGCAGGTGAGACGCGAGGGAGTGAATTTGTCTCTGACTTTGTCCCTCCTGGAACCAAGGGGATAATCAGGGGCCGCGAGCGGCTTCGGTTCTGCTGCTCTGCCTCCCTGAGCTCCGGCCTTGGGTCTGGGAGCCGCCCCGAGGAGAGCCCAGTGCCGGTGCCTGCTTAGTGCCCCCAGTCGGATGGCACACGGGGGTGGCGATGTCGACCTGCGCTCCTCGAGGGGCCCCGTGCTCTCTCTGAGGCCCGGGTGTCTGCTCACCTGCCGTTGTCCCATCCATACTTGATGGCTCCAGAAATGCCAAGTGTGTAAATGCCCAGAGGGACCTACTCACCCGTCCGCCCCCACGAGGCTGCAATTGTCCTGTGAACGGCAAGGCAACCGGGTTTGTGCAAGGCAGAAAAGCAAGACCAAAAACCGAGGGCAACCAATACACCACAAGTAGCATAAAAAAGCATATAAAAATTTACATTTAAATATAAATGACATCTTACAGCGCACATCTTCTCTCCCACAGTACCGCCCCCGAGGACACGCGTCGAGGACCAGGTGAGTCAGAATCCCCATCGTATTTTCCCTCCTGCTCGTCTCTCTTTCTTCTGCCGACGGGCTCCTCAAACTTTAAAACTTATGGCCACTTAGCAAAACCCAAATGCCTCCGGGGTCTGTCTCTTCCCCTATCTCCCCACACAGTGGGATAAAAACATTTGGTTGTAACAGTAAAGCGTCACTGTGCAAGGGAATTTTGGAGGCTTGCGTAGACGTTTCCTTTGGCCACAGAGACATGGATGATTTGTAGTTACACTCTGGCACGTGCCAAGTCTAAACATGCCATTCCTTGAAAATCCTTGTTGTGAAATACTGTTCAGCCACACACACACACACACACACACACACACACACAACTTTGTGTTGTGAGGTTAACCAAACAACCCGTGGAAAACTAAATTAACATTGAACGAAGCTAAACTAAGAGGGATTTGTGTCATTGAAACTCAGTGATCTGTCAACCTTGAATAATTGACGACATCACTGATAATACGGAAGTACGCTCAGAAAATTGTGGGAATCCCAGCTCAGCGTGTGTGCAAAGACAGTAGACGCTTTGTAGTTTTGTCGAGTGAGGTGGGGGAGACAGATGTGTCACCACAGAACCCATGTCCTTGGGAAACTCCAGTGACACGCTGAATTTAGTGTATGAGTGTAAAATCCTGAAATCCTGCAAAAAACGCCAACCCGCGGAACTGCCTGGCAGCGGCCCCTCCGAACGGGAGAGGGGCTTACGCGTTTCGATCCACCGGGGGGATGGGACGCAGGCCCTTTGAAAATGCTCGCCCAGGGCCGCAGTCTTCCAAGAGGCTGTGCTGCATGTGCGTGGCACGTCATGATAGGACATGCCCTGGCTGCCTGGGGAAGAGACAGGCCCCATGTGTGTTCCCTGCTCTGGTCCTGTCTATGTGCCTTTGCTTGTAGGATGCCTCAGCCATCTATTTTAGGCTGAAGAAGGCAAACGTTACAGATGAGGACTATGATGACGCTATGTAACGTTCTGGAAGATTCTGCCCTTTGGAAACCATCCATGACCCTAAGCCTCAGAACCAATACGTTCTTCAGAGATCCTGGGGTAGTCAGCCCTCCAGTGCTTCTCACCCAGCTGCTTTCCTCCCAAGACTATTCCTAAAACCAGCCAAGAGAACCAACATGAATGTGGGGGCGGGAAGGACCTCGTTACCAGGACCCCATACCTACTGGTTCTTCTAGGCACAGGTCGAACTGTGCTCTACCTTCTTATAAGAGGACACAAGGTGGGTGAAAGAACTTGGGATCTTGGGGTGGAGAGACAGTGCAGCTCACTCAGTGGGCCAGGATGCAAGGTCAGTGACTCCACAGGGCTGCCGCACACGGAGATGGGTGTCGTCACCTCGTAAGTGTAGACGGGCTCTGTACTGATCTCCAGAACAGATGTCCAGTCCTGCCACTTGCGTGCAGCCTGCTTCTGCGTAAAATATGTCACTCGGTGCATTTGGGGTCACTGACACCAAATTAGAATTCAAACAAAGTTTTGTAAATACGTACTGTGGGTGCACTCAACTTTGGCGACGTATTTTGTGTGCATAAGCCAGTCTAGATGCCGCCATATTTGTAATGAGATAGAATCTTGGTGAGTTTCACCACATCCAAAGTTCTGTGCTTGCTGCAGCTTCTAGAAGCTTTATGAATACAGTTTTTCTTCTTTTATTCACAAGCCTTTTAAAAATGTGACAATACAATTTGGAGTCTGTATTTTCATTTGAAAACAATTATTCACCACCTCTTACAAATTAAAACAATTTAAAAGTATACAATGTAAAAACTAAGGGTCTTCCCTATATCTAACACCATAAACGGTGCCCGTTGCTTAAAAACTTAGCTGCACAGATATTTTTAATTCTTCATACAAAGTCTTATACATGCAAGTAAATATACAAATATTTAGAAATATGCCTACCTTTAAAAATTGCGGAATATTTTCAAGGCTTTACGTAGACATCTACTATTTTAAAAGGCTATATAGGGGCGCCTGGGTGGCGCAGTTGGTTAAGCGTCCGACTTCAGCCAGGTCATGATCTCGCGGTCTGTGAGTTCGAGCCCCGTGTCGGGCTCTGGGCTGATGGCTCAGAGCCTGGAGCCTGTTTCCGATTCTGTGTCTCCCTCTCTCTCTGCCCCTCACCCGTTCATGCTCTGTCTCTCTCTGTCCCAAAAATAAATAAACGTTAAAAAAAAAAAAGGCTGTATATATTGGCTATATACAGATAAATCATAATATATACTTTTTTTTTTTTGCAAACTAGAAGTAACATAAAATTTGCCACAATGACCATTTTAAGTGTACCATTCAGTGCCGTGAAATACTATCATAGTATATTGTAGTCTTTTCAACCACTGATGGACATGGGGTGGTTTCCAAAATTTTTATATTATAAAAACAATACTAAAATAAATGTCCTAGGGCGCCTGGGTGGCTCGGTTGGTTGAGCGTCTGACTTCAGGTCAGGTCATGATCTCCTCATTCGTGAGTTTGAGCCCCACGTTGGGCTCTCTGTTGTCAGCACAGACTCCACTTTGGATCCTCTGTCCCCCCTCTCTCTGTACCTCCCTCCCTCACTCTCTCTCTCAAAAATAAACATTAAAAATAAAATAATAAAATAAAAGTCCTTGTACAAATATACTTCTCTGTTCCTGTTAATTCATCTGAAGGATAAGTTTGTAAATCAGGGATTAGGACATTTTAGGTTGTGCACATTTGATGTTTTTGTTAAATACTCTTAAACTGCTCTGTAGTAAGGCTGGATCAGTGCACACGTCGACCAACAATGCGTGAGATAATCGACCTGTGAGAGAAAAGCACCATTGTAATTTCAGTTAAAAATTTTAGGGGCGCCTGGGTGGTGCAGTCGGTTAAGCACCCGACTTCAGCCAGGTCAAGATCTCGCGGTCCGTGAGTTTGAGCCCCGCATAAGGCTCTGGGCTGATGGCTCAGAGCCTGGAGCCTGTTTCCGATTCTGTGTCTCCCTCTCTCTCTGCCCCTCCCCTGTTCATGCTCTGTCTCTCTCTGTCCCAAAAATAAATAAACGTTGAAAAAAAAAATTTTAAAACTAATGCAATTGAGCATTTTCCCCATAAAGGGACTGTTAATTTGTAGTTCTTCCAAAAGTTTCCTGTGCTGACCCTTCGCCTATTTTCTCAGTGTTCATTTACCTTTTTCTTATAGCTTTTGTAGGAATGATTTATAATTTGTATACAGTGAGGTGCACACATTTTATGTGCTTAGTTCGGTCAGTTGGACAAAAGCACGCACCCAACTAACGCAAAGTCTTGTCAGGATAGAAAATTTCTCCATCATTCAAGAAACTTCCCTCACATTCCCTCCCCTGCGATTACGTTATAGAAACGTTCGTACATTTTCTTAAAATGCTTTCATAATTTTGATATATATTCACACAGTGTATCATATGCATGTTTGGGGTGAAGTAAGAATCTGCCTTTTCCTATTCTGGTGTTTTATATTATATTTATATTATGACTTTACTTTTTGGAATTAAAAAAATTATATGAGCCAGAGATCTAACTGTTTTTCCAAACAGGTATAAATTATCTGCTACGATTGGTTAGGTCTATTCTCTTTCCTTTTATTTCCGTGCTACCTTAGCACGCCTGACGTGAACCTCCTTTCTACTGCTTCTGCCTAGTGCTAATCTCAACAATCCAGAACGAAGTGAGGGTTCTGGAGGGAAGAGGGCGGGGGATGGGCTAGATGGGGGATGGGCACTGAGTAGGGCACTTGTTGGGATGAGCACTGGGTGTTGAATGTCAGCGATGCCTCACATTCTACTCCTGACGCCAATATTGCACTTCACGTTAACTAACTAGAATTTAAATACAGTTTGGAAAACCAAATACTGACACCGTTTGAACTTCTGCTGAGGAGGAGTCTGCCCGTCGCACGACGGGCTCCTATCACGTGCCCTGTGTTCTTGGCACACGCACCCCTCTGTCCCAGCTCCACACTCACCCCTGCCCTCGCCAACCCAGGCTCCGTGGGGCGCTCTCCCCATCACGTCCCTTGGCTGGGTTTCTCTCTTGAATCTCTGTTTCTGGCCCATGGAAATGTTTAACTTTTTCTTTTTTAGGACAAATGTAGATTTTTACATGTTACATTTTTTCTGCCACCGCGAAGTATTTGGACCTCAGGGAGGGCTCAAGAAATGAAACGTGAGCCCCGAGGGTCCAGAAGCGTGGACTTTTTTTCCTGGATTTACACGGGAGCCCCACCATTTACTGGATCTGCAGTTTGGGTCAAATTATTTAAACTCTGTATTTCTCGGGGTGCTTGGGTGGCTCAGTCAGGTTAGGCGTCCAACTTCGGCTCAGGTCATGATCTCACAGTCTGTGGGTTCGAGCCCCACGTCGGGTCCTGTGCTGTCAGCTCAGAGCCTGGAGCCTGCTTCAGATTCTGTGTCTCCCTCTCTCTCTGCCCCTCCCCTGCTCACACTCTGTCTCTCTCTCTCTCTCTCTCTTAAAAATAAACATTAAAAAATATAAATAAAAATAAACTCTCTTCATGCTTAAAACTGGAATAGCAATCATATCTGATACATCATGCTGCCTTGCTAATTATGTAAAACCATTTGGTTAAAATGCTTCAAGCTGTACATGGCACACATTAAACACTCAAAAAAATAAATTATTATTATGATTCCGTCTCAAATTTCCCTTTTTATTATTTATGGCATTTTACTCTATGAGTGCCCTACTTTATTATTTTAACAAACTTGAAATAGTATAAATACATTTACTTTATTGTAATTCTTAGGTTATTCTTCTGCCTGAAGTTTTATGTAGTTAAGCCTGCATTTGTCACATTTCCTGAATCTTGGTCATTGTAACTTGGTGGGTTTTGTGACTGCAGATTGAGACACTTCCTGTGCATTATAGGAGTCTCATGTGGCTGGGGCTTCTCACTCTGTCCCTCAAAAGCCATTTTGTATGTGCTTCCTCCAAGCCCTGGGGGTGTCAGTGGCCCGGGACCACTTTTCATGATAATTCCCCATGTGGAGCTTCCCAGAGCACCCACGGGAGTGGCCTTGTCTTGGGGTTTTGATATTTCAGGGGAAAGTCTATTTTCCCCCAGAGCTCATAGAAAGACCAGGTTACTGTCATCTCTGTGCTGGTGGGTGAATTTTTTCCCCACCAAACCACTCTTTTATTAAGAGGAAAGCCTTCTGATGGCCCAGATTTTATGTGTTTTAGTTTCAAGCTTCTGCCTTTCATAGGCCCACGATTTTGTCTCCTGGTTCCTCCTGGATGAAATGCTAAGTTCATAAAAATCATCTCATGTAATATTTTCTCCTCACGGCACCAGAAATATCAATTTACATGTGTAATACTCTGTTTTCACTTCCTCTTTATCTTCTTATCCGTAATGGAGGAATTTCCCTTTTCTTTTACCTGTTTAATGATGCATTTAAAAAATTATGTAATATTTATCCATCACGGAATGAATGAGTGAGTGAATGCACGCTTCCTTGGACTGGTCAATCACCATCTCCTGGTGAGAAGGAGCTGTTAGCAGGGCACGTGAGATGAGCAAATCCCTTGGCAGGAAATCAGGACCGAAAGCCGGAAGTACAATCAAAGGGTCAGTGTATTCAATGTCCCAAGGGGGTCCCCTGTGGTCCAGAGTTCCCCTTGGTTGTTGGTCTTTCTGCCTGGAAAGTGACAAGTGACAACCATCCACCTTCTGGAAAACCCACACGTAGGCAATTAAAACAGAAAATAAAAGCTTCAAATTGAATTGTCTTTGGTCCCCAGGGGCCCCTCCACACCTGCCACCCCTCCCCCACCCCAAGCGAGCCCAGGCCACCAAGCAGGAGGGATTTTCACACACCGAGGAAGGTCTGCTCCCTGCTGCTCAGACATTTACCAACAACCTCGCTGAGTCTCCCTGTGCCTCTGTCTCCCCTCAGACATCAAGACTGGAATGGCATAGCCTCATTCAAAAGGGGTTTATAATAGCTTCTATTGACCCTGAAGAAGAGATCTTCCTCATGAAGAAGAAAAGTTTGAGCTCTGAAAAGTCCAGTCTCCCAAAATAATCACTACCTGAACGGAGACTTACGCTGTCCTTCTCAGATTGCCTGGAGGAGACACGTGGGTGACTGAGATTGCCTGGAGAAGACACGTGGGTAATTCTGGGAGAAACTGGGTCTCTGGGACATCTTCATCTTCTAATCTGCCAGGAAGGTAACAGACGGCAGTTTCCAGGCATTGTGGGTCTGAATTCCCTGCCATGCTCTCTGGACTATGGAGGGCCCAACAGAATTCTAGGAACTAATGAATTGCATTGTAGAGACTCTTCTGGGCAGAAGGGCCTGCCTAAATAATGTCTGGAGAGTGTCTACACAGACACCGTCTAGAGCCCCACCAGCCAGCTCTGCTGCAACAAACATTAGCACCCCCAAAAGGATATATGTCTTACCCTGGATATAAAATTTCTAAGTCAAACCCCATCCAACAAAGACGCCATGTTGTTCAAGATGATTATAGTGACGGTTGAAATGACTACCATAACTCCTACCACATGATGATGATGGCCGTGAGTTATGACCATGTCTACCACCATGTGTACAACAATTCCTGTGATAAGAGATCGCATACGTGGTGACATTTCATTCGGTCATCGTGGCCTCGTGGCCCCAAGGTCAACCAAATACAACAGAGACCTCTGAAGTTATCCAGCTTCATTTTCTTATTGTGACTATCCTAGTAACTTCCTCAAATGGGAGATGGTATTTATTTTGTTCTGAGTTGTATTTCATGAAGACTCTGTCTCTGTCTCAATCCCTACACACCCGCCTTGCCATTGTACCTGACGTCCCTTCCAAGACACTGGACAGAGTTGACAGGGACACTGTTGCTCTGCGTCTGACAGAGAACCCTTGTGTATGCTGCAACCCTCAGAATCTCCAAGCCAAGAGTCTACCTGGTCCATCCGAGAGGATTTCGAGTCTTTATAGAACTCTGCCTCCCTGTGGCACCTGTGACTCCATCTTGCCGGTGGCCAAATATCCTCGCACAAGGATCTTTCTATTTCTCCTTTTGGCCAATGGCCCTCTCCCCCCCACGCCTCCCACCCAGTTTCACTTCCTCCACTGTAACCTTGAACATGAATTTACTTTGTTCTCCAATGAACCACTGAGCTTCTCACCTCTGGCTGCGGCCCCTAGTTTGCATCTGAGTTTAGATGTGCCTCTAGGTCATGGCCGCCCATATGCAAATGTCTGCCATCTGTCAGCTGTGAGAGCACCCAGAGGCCTATCATCTTAAGGACTTGCTGCCGCCCCAAGGGCCCCCCTACTTCACTGTGACAAGGCATATTTCTCTCCCCTGCATCACTCACTGGCACACAAACCACACCCCCTCCTGTTTGAAAATGCCGTGGAAAAGAACTAATTCTCAACTCCAGAGGCCCCATTCCCGTACAGGACAGAATGGAATCGCAAATATTTTGAAAAATCTGCTCAGAAGTCTGAAAAACCAATACCTATCACCAGCTCTTCCTCCACTTTTTGCAAGCACCTTTTTCTGTATTTTCTTCCTTAATTCACCGTCGTCCTTCAGAATCCTTTGCCGTCCTGACTGGGCAGGACAAGGAGGAGCCACAGACCGTCTAGAAGCCCTTCCACAGGCAAGGGCTGGACGAGCAGTTTGGTGAGCGGCTCTGTCCCAGGGAGAGAAACACCTTCTTCCAAATACAAATGGACCATTGGCCCTGCATAAAGTTAAAGTAACATTGCTTGATACACTTTGAGGCGAGAGAGGCCAAAAACACTGGGCCTTATTTTTTACGAATTTTTTAGAAATACATAAACAGCATATGTTCACTTTATATAATATATATTATATATTAATATGTAATATTTATTTTAGATGATATATATTAACTATATAATGTTTACTTGCTTTATTATATATTATAACATATAACATTTATTTTAATGTATATTATCTAAAATAAATGTTATATATTGGAATTACACATGACAGTAATTATAATATATATTAATATGTCATTAATACATAATGTAAAATAAACATATGCTTATATATATTATATAAGAATACTAGAACACTAGATATATAGAAGACTAGAACATATAATGTTTTATATATATATACTAGAATATTTATTATATAGAATATAGAATATATATTATTCTATAAATTATATTCTGTAAATATATAGAATATATAGTAATATATATCATAATATTCCATATATAATATTCTATATGTTCTATATACTAAATAATAATATATAATAACATATAATCTATATTATATTCCATATTATATTCTAATTATATTCTATATACGTAGAATGTAAATTATAATCTATATATTATATAAGAATACTAGAACACACTGATAAGAAAGGGTGGAGGATAAAAGCCACCTTTAATTACATTATTCAAATATGATTATACCCACATTTGGTGTTTATTGTCCCACACATTTTTATTGGACAAATGAGGGGATGATAATGTACAAGTAAATTGCATTCAGCAGCCCTTTTTCCTTACCAGTATATCATGAACGACTTTTATTGCTATTCAATATTGTACAAAATCATTTTAGTGGCTGCTCGGTAGTACACGGACATACAATTTATTTTTTTTACCTGCCTTTTTGGGCGTTTTCAGCACTTTTTTTACACTGCTATAAGCAAAGCTTTGATGATACGATGTATGACATCACACACGACACCAACGTGTCCCAAAGGGAAACTATGTGTGTGGTGAGTGACAATGTTGAGTATCCACCTGAACAGATGACGTTTATGGTGAGTGACAATGGTGAATATTCACCTGAACAGAGGACGTTGAGCCTAAGATCGCTTCACTGTCAGCCAGCCCACAGGTTACAAACAGCTATGATTTTGTGATTTAAAGTTTCAGGCTACATATAGTCCAAAAAGGCAACGTACGCCTGCCTGTCCAGCCTGTCCGAGGGGGCTGTTACACACAACACCTGTGGGGACCACGTCTGGTGAGAATGGGAGTGACAACGGGCTTTGGGGATGCGTGCCCTGGAGGGTGTGGCTGCATCGGGAGCAGTATGGATTAGAAACACGGAAGAAGACAACATTTTCAATGATACCAGGACAAGCGCTTTGACTCTTAGCAACATCCCGTTCCGGAAGGCTGAAAAAATCTTCGCCCGAGAACCCCGCGTGGCTGCAGAAATGGCCCTACTATCCTAAGGATCATTGAGAAGCATGGTGTCACAGTGAGATGTGACAGCGTTTGAGAGCCAGACTGTGGAATGGGCCCTCCTGAGTTTGAGTCCCAGCTGTCGCTCCTGGAAAGTGGCCATGCTGATCTCGGTCAATTGCTTGCCTTCTCTGGTGCCTCAGTTTCCCCAGTCATGTAACAGGGATAGTGTGCACTTCAGAAGCTTGCTCAGGGCACCAAATAACTCTGTGAGCATAAGGCACTTACAGCCATGTCCAAGGCACCAGCAGACAGAAGTTAAGTGTTAACTGTCATCAGCATCAGGAGGAGGAGTTTCTTTGCATCTAGAGGGGCCATCTGCATTGACTCAGCGCCTGTAGGAAGGAAGACAGCGGCCAGACACTGACAAGCCCTTCTACTTCCTTTTTTTGCTAATTGTATACAACTTACTTTGAAAGCCGTTTCCATTCCCTGCACACAGACTCCAGCGGGTGGCCAAAGGGACATCTCTTCTCGGAGAGCTGACCCGGGTCCTCATGCTGCTGTGGTCACTGCTGGTCATCTTGGGTGAGTCCCATAACGTGCATCAGGACTGAGGTGGCAGCTGACGGGGTCTGCAGCCCCTGGACGCCCTCAGGGTTTATCAGAGCCCGGGGATCAGTGGAGATGCTCAGGTCTGTGCTTGCAGCTTAGATAGCAGAGTCCGAGGGGAAAGTCAGACGGTCACGCATCCTCGCCCTTAGTGTTCAAGGCTTATGATCTTAGATAATCAGAAATTAGTGATATGTTCTCCTGAATCCAGTTTTCATAATTTCAACATTTACTACTCCTCCCTGAGAACTACTCACACACATCTCTCCAAGACTGGGTTCAGAGACGCATGGACACTCTTTGCTGAGGCCCCTCCGTTAGCCGTCCGCTACCAGGGAAACAAGAGTCCTTTCTCCACATTCAGGAGGCGCTAACATTTGTTAATGAGCAAAAGGACTCTCACATAAAACGTGGCCAGGGAAAGGGAATCTGCTCAAGGTGGGTTCGGCTTTCAAAACTGTGTGCTGCTCTCCGCCTGTCGGTAAGCGAGGTTGTGGCCCGTCCAGCCCTCGTGGGTCTTATTAAGACGGCAAGATGCCCTTCGGCATAAATGGTCAGGAAGCTTTGAAAAACGACAGGTTTATTACTTCCGGGGCCGGGCAGTTCCACGGCACCCCGGGACCACACAGCGAGGTGGAGGGGAGAGACAGAGCCTGGGTCCGGGGTCCTGCTCGTCCTGGGGTGGAGGCTCACTCTTTGTTGGAGAATTAAAACAAGTGAGTGGGAATTTGAAGCATGAGAAGTCAATAAACCAAGGGGCCCACATGGTCAGTTACGGAAATCATCCGAGACCCCTAGAACAGAAGAGCCTCAGAGTGGGGGGAGGGGACCGGCTCTTGGCCTGCAGCTTGTGGCCGGCACTGTCTTTGAAATGGGTGCCTTAGCATCAAAGCTTAAGTCAGGCACAAGGTCGGGCTTTACGCAACAGAAAACCCCCGACTTTCAGGGCCCACACTACTCACTCTGACTGGGTGTGTTTCCCTATGGACTCTTGGTGACTCGGGATGCCGTGTCGTGGTGCAGTCGACACACCGGGTGTGGAGGTGGTCAACGGGGACGGGGGAAGGACAAGGAAAAGGAGAGAGTCGCTGGATACCCAGCGTCCATCCCTGGGACGTGCCTCGGGTGGTCCCTTCGGTCCAGGGATGGGTTTGCACCTGCCTTGTGGATGTGACATGAGCGGGGGGGCCAGTTGAGGTTGGAGGGGTGGGATTGCTGGTGATAATGGAGTAGAGGACAGAAAAGGGAGTGATGGGAACTTTGGGGGCACTCTAGCAGAGTGATAATAGATTTCTAAATTGTGGGGGCAAACGCTCGGGGCTAACCTCAGGTTTCTGATGTCCCCACAGCTCCAGTCGATGGAAAATCAGGTGAGTCACCTCTGGCCTGTTGTTCTCGGGGTCCGGGTCCCACGAGGTCCTGCAGAGTGGGACAAGGAGAGGCCTCGGAGACGTTCCGGTGTCACTGTTCCCCTGGGACAGCCTGCCCCGTGGCTGCTCTGCTTGGCTGGGTGAGGAGGGTGTGCCCGGCCTGCCCGGGCCCGCGTCCGCCGTGTGGCCACAGCCCGCAGGGAGGGAGGCATGTGGAAATGTGCAGGCTGGACACGGGCCCATGTGGGAGGATGGTTCTCCAGGCCCTGGGACCCCGGCTCCTCCACAAGGTCCGGCTGAAGGTCCTCACAGCTCTGGCTAAGAGCGTCTGCGTGGTCGGACGGTCCTGTGCCATCATGCTTCTCTGGCCGGGGCCACCACCGGTGGAAGGGGCTCTCGGGGCCCCAAGGAACCATCCTGGGATGACAGACTCTCATCTGTCTTCTCCCGACAGCATTCTCCCCGGGGAATTCTTCCAGTTTCTGGATGAAGTCTGTACCCGTGGTTTAAAAATCAGCTTGATTATAAGTCCCACAGCCGAGTCCCCAGGGGATCCAGTCCCCGTCACTGCAGGAAGGCAAACATCTCCAATTAATCTAATTGTTTCCGCAACCCACCTCGTCTGCCCTTCTAACTCCACATTTTATAACCCAGATTGTCCCCCAGTGCCCAACAGGTAAATCTGGTTCTCCGAGTGGACAGCCAGTCACACGTCGTCCAAATTTCATCAAACTCCCGTGAAAGGGCTCGGGTTCTGGTTCCGCATTTTAGGAGACGCTTCGTCTCTTACGTGACCGAATTCTGCCTCCTTCCACTGCACCTCCAGATTCTGCCAGTCCTGCTACAGTTGAACAGTGTTAGAAGATTTGTGTCGAGACATAGCTTAGTTTCTCACCTGGAGGTCGGAATCCTCAACTACAAACCCTAAAATGTAATGCAAATGTCCCAGACGCTGAACGCGGTCTGGTACGGAGAAACGGCCCCAGGGGACGCTTATTTTTGGCAATGACTTTTTTTCTCGTGAAAGTCAGTCACCTAGGAGCTGACCCTTGGATTAAAGGTCAGCTCCACCTTATTACTCATTGAAGGGATGGGGGAATTTTCTGGAAAATGCTCAAGGGGGCAATTTCTGAGGATTGAGACACTGGATCCCATTCCAGTAGCCAGTTGACTCCCCAGTGATCTGGGCCCCCTGGCGGTTTCCTCCGGCGAGAAGACGGGGCAGAATGTGCATTCAGAGCACAGTGCGGGGCCCTTAAAGGCTGGATAAAAGCAGAGGGGGCAGGAAAGCAAAGTGTCCCCTGAGGACAATGGTCCCCCGGGTGACATCACCAATAGACAGAGCCGGGCAGGAGAAGCACCAGCCGCACACTCCCGCATCCACGTAGAAAAAGAAGTTTACGCTGAGACCCCTGCAATGGGCTGAATGTTTGAGTCCCCACCCCCCAAATCGCATGTTGAAACCCTAATCCCCAGCGGATGGTATGTGGGGGTGGGGCCCTTGGGAGGTCATGAGGTCATGGAGGCGGGGTCCTCATGATGGGATTAGTGCCTTCAGAAAAAGAGGCCGGAGAGCTGCGCGTGCAAACACACAAGAAGTCAGCAGTCTGCAGCCTGGAAGAGGGACCCCACCAGAACCCAGCTGCGCCGGCACCTTGGTCCTGGACTTTTAGGCTCCCGAACCGGGAGGAAGAAATGTCTGTCGCCGAGAAGACACCCAGCGCATAGTATTTTGCTACAGCAGCCCAAGCTGACTCAGAGACCCCCTCAGGACAAAAATAGGAGGAGGCGGCCCCGAGTAATTAAGGCGTGGGTTGGAACCTCCATCCTGCCGAAAGGGGAAGGGGCCACATGCACACCCTCTCGCTGCCCAACAGCAAAGAGACAGGTCAACATCTGCGTCCCCCTCACCCTTTCTCTTGCAGACTGGCTGACCCTCGTGGCTCCCTCTGCTGTCTTTGAAGGGGACAGAATAGATCTGACATGTCAGAGGAAAAATGACTGGTGGAAAGTCACGAGGGCGTCATATCACAAGGACGGAGAAGAGTTACAGGTTTCAAGCGAACTCTCCAACTTTTCTATCCAAAGAGCAGTTTTGAGTGACAGTGGCACTTATCACTGTGCTGTTGCTCTCGTTTGGCCTCTCTTTCCTTTCCAAAAGGAAAAAACCTCAAGAAGTGTAAGGATTGAAGTTCAAGGTACAGTCTTCCCTCCTGCGGGACAGGGGCTGGACCAGAGCAGGGCAGGTCCTGGGAGGGGCACCTGACCCCCCGCCCCACCCCCGCACGCCGACCAGAGGGGAACCCGAGTCTTGTAGTCCGACAGCAGGAAGGGAGACCATGTGTTGGGTGACACGGCTGGTCTGAATGTCTTGTTTGCTGGGGTGGCTTTTCGGCAGGAACCTTCGACCTCACTGTGACCCTTCTTTCCAGAGCTATTTCCACGCCCTGTGCTCACAGTCAGCCCCTTCCGGGCCATCGAGGGGAACCCAGTGACGCTGACCTGTGAGACCAAGCTTTCTCCACAGAGGTCAGATGCCCAGCTCCGATTTTGCTTCTTCAGAGATGGTAGAGCCCTGGGGTCCGGCTGGAGCAGCTCCCCAGAGCTCAGGGTCCCTGCCATGTGGAGCGGAGACTCAGGGTCCTACTGGTGCGAGGCAGAGACAGTGACTCCCAGCGTCAGAAAACAGAGCCTCCAGTCGCAGATTCACGTGCGGGGTAAGTGGGAGTGGGTCTGAGCACCGGGGGACAGGGGTCCTTCAGCCCCTCTCCGGACGCCTAGTCTTCCGGGAGCTTGTGCAGCTCCTGTCCTTCTGGAAAGTGGGAACTGAGCTAGAAAATGGGCATTTCGTAAAAATAACAATCGGACAAAGCCCCCGTTGAAAAACGGAATCCAATGGAGCAAATGCGAAGACCGAATTGGCTTTATCAAGCCATTTGTGAGTCAGCTGGACCCCAGCCAGCCTGTGGAGAGACGCTCAGAGATGCGCAAAGCGGAAGGTTTTTATAGGCAGGAGGTGGGGCCAGGGAGTGATGAGAAAATTTAAAAAGCATCGTTTCAGGTCCCGGACATCTTTGTGGGGAGGAAACTGCAGGGGTTTTTTTGGTTTCCGGTTTTCGTTCTATCATGCAGATGACCTCGTGTGGATCCAGGAATTTCAGACTGACTTTTAGAAGGTCACATTGCCAGGGCACCTGGGGGCCTCGGCGGGTTAAGCGTCTGACTCTTGATTTCGGCTCAGGTCATGATCTCACGGTCTTGTGAGTTCGAGCCCCCCATGGGCTCTGCACTGATGGTGTGGAGCCTGCTTGGGATTCTCCCTCTTTCTCTGCCCCTCCCCTCGCTTGCACTCTCTCTGTCTCTCTCAAAATACAGAAACTTAAAAAAAAAATTAGAAGGTCACATCCCTAGGATTGGCTGAAACCATAATTAAGTCTCAGTTGGCCGTCAGTGAAGGACAAATACTCCATTTGGGGCTTTTCTTCTTCTCTTTTAAACAGTCCTTATAATCTCTCCCTTCTTTATTAAAGTAATGTCCATCAGTCATGCCTTCAATGATCCCTGGGTGCCTTTGCATTTAGCAGCGGGCTGGGCACCTGCTCCACAGTGGCTCTGCCTACAGCCCCACATGCTGGCTTTCAACCCAAGCTGGTTTATTAGAAGGCACCATGGTGCTCCAGTGCGGGCGGCTAAGCGAAGCATCAGAGGAAGCAGAAATCAGAGTGAACTAAGCAGTCGGAGGAGGGGTGGTAATTCGTGTTGAGCCTTGAAATTGGGAATAATGAAGGAATGGTCACAGATATTGTTAGTGGGAGCAGCGTCTCTTCCAAGGTAGGACTGATGCTACCGGGACGCCCTCACTCTGTGCTCAATGCATTGGTCTGGACAGCGACTCCTCCCCCCCACCCAGAAATACTTCCTGTCTCGTGGAGCAGTTGACATGTTCTTTAGTGACGCCCTGAAATTAGGTGGGATTGGGGTTGGGGCATGCAGTGTCTTATCCACATTCTTCAAGGGCACTCGCTGCGGACCCCCCACCTTTCTGTACTTACAGTGGATTACGGGGGCAACGCCCGTGCACCCACTTCTTGGACCACCTGGTCCCAGAGTCCTCCGCGGTCAGGTTCTCACCTGCCATCTTCTGTCCGTCTAGGAGTGCCTGTCTCTAACGTAAGCTTAGAGATGTGGGCCCCCAGGGGCCAGGTGATCGAAGGGAGGAACCTGGTCCTGCTCTGCTCGGTGACCGAAGGCACAGGAAACATCACATTTTCCTGGCACAGAGAGGCCACAGGAACCAGCGTGGGGAAGAAGACCCAGCGTTCCCTGTCGGTGGAGCTGGAGGTTCCAGCTGTGCAGGAGCGCGATGCTGGCCGTTATTACTGCAGAGCGGACAACGGCCATGGCCCCATCCAGAGCAAGGTGCTGAGTATCCTTGTGAGAAGTGAGTTGCGCTCTGATTCAGCCCAGACAGAAACCCCAGAGCCAAGGCCACAGTCCTGGGGGTCCTGAGGAAGGGGCTGGAGGGTCGGTGCTATGCAACACCAACAGCAATGGAAGGATGGGTTACCCTTGCAAGTTAAACTGTGGATGTCTTTCTTTTCCTAGAAGGGAATTACAAAGGGGGCTGGACTGGCATTAGAAAAACACACGCTGAGAATTACACATGACCGTGTCTCCAAATACTTCCCCAGAATTGATATTCTCCCAAATTCTTAAAGACGTTGTTGAGGGTTGGAGAGGCCAGGCCCATTGCTGAGGTCCTAGTCTGGGGGTCTGTGTCTGCCACGTCCTCACAAACCCTGTCCACGGCTCCTGTCTCCCTCAGTCCCAGTGTCCTGCCCAATCCTATCCATCACAGCACCCAGAGCCCAGGCCGTGGAGGGGGACGTGGTACAGCTTCGCTGCGAGGCCCAGAGGGGCTCTCCCCCCATCCTGTACCGGTTTTATTACGAGGACGTCCCCCTGGGGAACAGCTCAGCCCCCTCTGGAGGAGGAGCGTCCTTCAACCTGTCTCTGACCGCAGAACATTCTGGAAACTACTCCTGCGAGGCCGACAATGGTCTCGGGGCCCGGCGCAGCGAGGTGGTGCCACTCAGCCTCTCAGGTGGGTTGATGGTCCCTGGATACAGGAGCATTATGACCAGTGGCTCTGCCCCATCCATCTTCATTGGTACCATATTGGGGTTTCGGAAGGTAGGTGGAGGTCTAGGTGGTGGGAGATTGGAGAAGGTGGTCTCGGTGCCTGGCCACCTCTTTTTCTCCACACTAACCTGGAAAGTGCACGTTACACTTAGATAACGTTGCGTGACCACCATTCCTGCATAGTATTGATGGGGATTCCAGCCTTTACCCTCTGAGGCTGACGCGCTGGTCTCTTCCCTCAGGGACCAGCAGCTACAGAGAAGAACATGTCACAGACAGAGCTCTTGGGCTGCTGGGTGTCCCTGCTTGTGTTGCTGCTGCTCTGCTGTTTTACTGCAGGTTCCACAAGACACGGGGTTGGTCATCTACCATTTGTTTTCATTGTCCTTTATTGCTGTGAACTTTTCCATTACTGATAGAGATTGGACAGGAAAGGAGAATTGAGAAATTAAGAAATTAGGAAGGAAAGAGAGAGAGAGAGAAGGGAAAAGAAAAAAAGAAAGGAGGGAGGGAGGGAGGAAGAAGGAAGGAAGGGAGGAAGGGAGGGAGAGAGGAAGGGGAGGGAGGGAGGAAAGGAAGAAGGAGGAAGGAAGGAAGGAAGGAAGGAAGGAAGGAAGGAAGGAAGGAGGGAAGGAAGCTCCCCAAATCTCGTCAATTCTTTTTATGCGTCACAGTTTTACATGGTGGCTTCTGCTTCAATAGCAAGTGTGGTAGTGAGTCTGCAATGTCTTTTTCCAACTAATTTCAGACCACAGTGTCACGCACGTTCACGACAATCTCATCAGGTCCCATACCTAACACTTGCCCAGATGCAAGGGGAGAGGGCACAGTCTCCACTCCAAAGACAGCTCTAAATGTTAAAGAACTCGCAGCCGTATTTTTTAGATTTCCACACGAATCACCACGATGCCAGTCCCTGCCTTCCTCCCACCAGACTTCTGGAAGCAAGTGCCATGGGGGGCCAGCAGTTCCAGACCTAGGCCTCTCTCCGGGAGCGTCTCCCCTCTCCGACCTGGCCTGGGAGGTTCTTCCCTGTCCTGTCCCCTCTTCAATACCAGTATATAGACTTCTGCCAGGATTTTGTCCAATAACTCCAGTTCTCAGAAAAAAAGGCCAGTTCCGTTTCCTCCACCATCCCTAGAAGCACGAGACACCTTCTTCCATAACCAACACTCCCATAAAGCCGCTGCCATGTTAGCACGACCGTGCATTATCTTTGTAACATTATTTTTAAGACCAAGAATTTAGGAAACTCTTCGAAGGGGTAGCTCATACTGATCCCTACCAGCATACTGCTAGCCAAAACACGTTACCAATGACCAATTATTGCATCTGTTACGTATGACGAGCTTACACATATTATGTGTAATTATAAAAAAATCATTTGGAAGTGTGCATCATGGTCCAGGTTTAACAGTCTTGGGGAAGTTGAGTGGGCCGAGGTGCTCACGTCCAGTAGAGGGCAGAGCTAAGATCCAGTGTGCACACTGGCCTGGCCAGAAAGCCTCAAGCCTGCACGTAGAGACTCTTGACCTGAACAATTCTCCTCTTGCAAGTTTCCCCAGCTCCAGCAGTGTCATTTTTTTCTTTAAAATTTTAAAAAATATTTATTTTATTTTTGAGAGAGAGAGAGAGCAGGGGAGGGGCAGAGAGAGAGAGAGGGAGACACAGAATCCAAAACAGGCTCCAGGCTCTGAGCTGTCAGCACAGAGCCCGATGTGGGGTTCAAACTTACGAGCTGTGAGATCATGACCTGAGCTGAAGTCAGACGCTTCATCGAGTGAGCCACCCAGACATCCTGAGATGTCATTTATTAATCTGTAACATACAGGACAAGCATGGGAGACAACAGAGTTGCAAGGTAAGCTTTTTAAGCTCCTACAAAATGTTCCCTTAGACCTATCAACTACCACCGAGTGAGAGAAATTTTGGAAAGTCATCAGTCATTCCTTTTCCAGATGGTGAAAATGTAGCTCAGTTTTTTCAAGTTCAGCGGAAGTTATATTTTTAAACAGACCATCTAAGACTAAGGAATTGTGATATTGTTTTTTCTTTCACTATGGTTTTTAACTAATAAAAATATGTCTATGAAGAGGGAGGTTGTTTTTCTAAAATAATTTCTAATTCATCCACTGTTGAATTCTCCCACTCTTTCAAGTTATACACCAATATAGTATTGATTTTTTTAAATATAGAAACAATCTACAAAGCAATAAAACATTTACTTTCTATTTTCCAATTTTTAAGCAATTTATTTTTCACGTCTAATTATATGCCCAAGGGCCTCTGAAATGTTATGTTATGTGGATGCGCTTGTCTAGCCCTTGTTTTTGAGGGAAATTTTTCTAGTATTTCTCTGCTATATACTATATTCAAATACTCCTTCTAGAGAAGTTCCAGTTTTCTTATTTTATCAAGACTACTTCTCAGAAACAACTTTTAATTTTTGCTAATACCTTGTTAGTACCTGTGAAGATAATAATATAATCTCTCTTTCATCTATTAAATCAATTAGTTAAATTATACCAGAATACTTAATGTTGACTCATCTTTGCATTCCTGATAAAAACCCAATTTTGATGGTGCATTTCTAAGAAAAACTAGCATTCTTTTGAAGTTTTCTTCCTTGATGGTAATGTGTGACATTTGCCAGCTTTGTTGCTACCGTGATCTTTTCCGGGTTTTGTACTCCACGTTATTCCATTTTTGCAAGAGGAAGCTCAACATTGTCCTTCTTTTTATATGTTTTGTATGTTCTGGAATAGTTTACATAGCAGTCTAATTATCTGTTTTTTAAAGAGTCTACGTGCTCCCCTATGGAACCTTCGCCTGGTGGGGCTTTGGGGGAGCAGGTCTTCTGGAACTTTCTCTGTTTCTGCTCTTGTAACCAATCTTGTGAGAGACGCTGCTAATGTTCACCCAGCCCTCCTTTGCTTCCGGGCACGTGGACAGTCTGTGTTTCCCTGTCTCCTTGAAGGTCCATGTGGCCAGAGACATGTCTGCAGAAGCGGTACATGTTGTTTCCTGTCAGAAGTATTTACGAGTGAGGTGCTGATGCCCCTTCTCCTTCCCGTGTGCCAGTGACCAGGCACACACATGCTGAGCGGACAGTGTCTCCGGCTGGAGTGGCCTCTGGCAGCCTCAATCCCTGAGTGACTGTGGTGACAGACACTCCCCCACCAGCAGACTTCTGACAGGTCTGCAGCACAAATGGGAAATTTGCAAACGCAAATCCCCCACAAGTCGAGCCTCGCTTGTTAATGCAGCAGAACACACCCCATCCTGACGCCACATTCTGTTCATGTTTCCTTTATCTTCTGGGGACTTTTCCTAGAAAAGTACCTGTTTTATCCAGGGTTCCAAATTTCCTTCCTTGGAACTGAGTGAAGTCCTGCGCTTCCCTGTGATTCTTCTCGCTTCCCGTGGCAGCGCTCAGTCCTCCATTCTTTCTCGTTCACGTTCTTGAATGGCACAGCATATCCATCCTCTGGATTGCAAAGTGAAGCTCCTAGAATCATTTATTTCATCTACCAGTTTGCTTTCTAAATCTGAAATTTCTGCTTTTCTTAGTTGCAGCATTTTTCCCGTTGGTCCTATTCTTTAGAACAAATCGAATATTTAATGTATTTGCTTTCCTCCGTCTTATATAGTTACCCATGCACTCAGCAGCTTAATACTTAATTCCCTTAAATGTACAAGTTATAGACACATCCAGGTTTCTTCATGGTTTTGTTGTGAATTATCTGCTCCACTAAGATCTAAGATTGTTGATATCATACTCACTTTATAGACTATTTTTGAAGTTTTCTTTGGAAGCCAAGATTTCATCGACTTTTGTTAATATTCAAAAGTGCTTAAGAAGTCCATTTTAAATCCATTTTTAAAATAATGTATCCAGTAAGGAGTTGCTAGGCTCACACACCCTGATTTCATACTGTTTGAAGATATGTGTGCCTTGCCTTATGGTTGAGTGACTGTTTGGCTTGGTAGAAAATCCTGAGGTCATTCTTCCTTTCCTTGAAGAAAATAAATTAGTTCCTCATTCTCTTTGGAGAATACACTTAGGTTAGCCTTCCAACACTGTCTCCTGAAATCCTGATAAAGTTGGAGCGCTGGCTGTATTACCAGGCGAGGTTTTTCATGATTGCTGAGCTGCACCTAAACTGGAAGGGCTCTGGGTGGGATTACAAATGTTTGATGGGAGGCACAGTGGGCATACCCCCAAGTGCAATGCAACCCTTGAGACTAACTGTGTCCCTTGTAGTGGTCCCTGCTCCCATCCATGTGGACTTGTCCCCTCAGCTCTTAGGTGAAGGACCGGGAAAGAGTTTCTTGACCACTGTAAAGACTCCCTCTGGTGACACAGCCCATACTTCCATGCTGAGACGCCATGTTTCTTGCTCCACATCTCCCTGAAAAGCTAAACGGTGCAAAGGAGGGCCCATTGGGTCCTATGAATGTCAACATCAAGCCTTACCCCAAGACCACTGCTTTAGACTTGAGTCGCTAATATCAGAACATCTAAAAAGTGAGAACCCTCAAAGTCCAAATAAGGAAAGCAGTAAAGTCACCAGCAGTTAACATATATTTTTGCAACAATCAAAACAGCAATAAAAAAATCCAGAAACAGTGACCCATGCCCGTGGGGTTTGCCGTCTGAAGTGGTATGTCAAATCAGTGGGGAAAAAAGAATGGATTGTCCAACCGACCATGTCGGAGGGAGCAAGTAGTTATCAGGACACAATATAACTGGATCCCTACTCTGTGTCCTACATCCTGCCGGTAACAACATGTGATTAAGTTGGGTGAGAGTTTTAAGAGCTAAAGCCTCCTCCTCTAAAATGAATGTTCCTTCATCTGATTTTCAGGAAGACACTCTGTCACTAATGCACTCAGGTGAGAACTTTTCCTATTGAAACTGGGAACTCCAGAGACCTTCCTCATTCACAATTTTAAATACTT